AAATAATGAATAATATATATATATACATATATATATATATATATGTGATATATGAATCAAAATTAGGGATATCAATGGGACCTATCCAAAACCAAGGCGCTTGCAACGCGAAGCGACCTTGTCCGCCTACAGCACGGCCTACGGGCGGAACCGGCTCTATGCGCGCAACGCGGCGATCAGCAGCGAGGTCAACAGGGTGTTGGAGGTGCGAAACATGGAAATTTCACGGAGAATCGATGTCAATGGTGATTTTCCCATTAAAAATGGTGATTTTCCCATTAAAAATGATGATTTTCCCATTAAAAAATGTGATTTTCCCATTAAAAATGGTGATTTTCCATAGTTGCCATCTGGTTTGTTGACATTCACAGTTTGCCATGGGATTTCGATGGCCCTAATCGAAATAGATGGTTTAGCCATTTTTTTCGATGGTTTACCTTAATAAGGTATGGTATATTGATGTACCATCTGGTTATGACATTCACAGTTTGCCATGGAAAGATCCAGCAAGTTTAAGAACGGTGTTTACCATCTATTTCTATGGGCCATCTATACCATGGCGAACTGTTAGTCATAACCAGAGGGTATGTTTTTGATTTGCAAAACCAAGGCACTGCCTAGCAAGCTTCACCGTCTCACCAGGGTTCCTTCAGTTTCTTAGATTGCCACCATAATGGATGTTCATATATGGACACATATGAAACATCCCAGATTTTAATGGAGGGATTGGGGATTTTTATATGTTTTTTTATGCAGTAAACATGGATGAACATGGTCCATTCAGTTCGATGATTTACATAAGGGTAAACATGAAAAACCCATGTGTTTTTTTTTTATCAAGAAACATTGTGATTTAAGGGTATACAATTGAGATGCAATGAGCTCTTCAAGACAACTACTTTAACTAGAACATATGGAAATATATAATGGGGCGATAATACGATATAATGATATAACCATGTTTCACCAGCATTTTCCCAGTGAACATGTTTGTGCATTTTGGAGTAGGCCGTTTCAGACATGTCCGACGGAAATGGTGAAAGGGAGTTTATCAAGATTCATATTCTGGTTGGTGGTTTGGAACATGAATTTTATGATTTTCCATTAAATATATTGGGAATGTCATCGGGCCCCAACTGACGAACTCACTCCATTTTTCAGAGGGGTAGGTCAACCACCAACCAGTAGTTACACTGATGAAACCAGCAGACACTCGGAGTGGGGGGATGTTTTTTTGGAGCGTATCCTGATGATATCGCTACATCTGATGAGGTCTCAAAATAATTGCCATGCTACTCTCTGGTACTCTGATGTGTTCACCCCAATGATTTCCACAACGTTGTTATCACTGTAGATTGTTGAATGATCATTATATGAAGTTACATAATTACATGTTTGACTCATATTCATGTGTATATATATATATACACGTACACATACAAGTACGTATAGGTACAGATACGTTGAAAGATATGTAACCATGAGTTTCTCGGATGATTTTTCATTTAAAGACAGCCTGACAGAGGAGGTCACAATGCCGAAGAGTCTTGGAAAAGTGAAAATTTTAAAGGGTTCAGGTATATGTGGAGGTTTCTTAAAATGGGAGTACCCCAAAATGGATGGTTTATAATGGACAATACCATTAAAATGGATGATTTGGGGGTACCCCTATTTCAGGAACCCCCCATATATATATATATAGATAGATAGACAATATATATGTATGTATGTATGTATGTATATGTATATATGTTATACATACAATCATCGAACTACCATCCTGGAGTCTTGGAAATACTTTTCAGCATCGTTTTGGAAGTTTCAATAGTCATTTGTTGGAATCCAAGAACGGTGATCATGTGCACCTGAGGCAGGTCTGAAGGTAATCTTGTGAGTGGTGGGAATATCTTCACGAGGTGCATTAAAGATATGAAGGATCTCAACATTTTTCCACGGGCTGCGAATCAGCCACGTTGCACATTAATCCTCCATCTTCCAGCAGTAAAGAAACTGTAGATGATCTCTGACCAACCCATCGAAAGGAATAAGAGTTGCAGAATTGAACAACATTGAGAATGGACATGATATACATATGTATAAATAAATAAATATATATATATATATGTATATATATATATTATAGATTTATGTATATACATATAAACATAAATATGTATATATATATACATATACATATATATATATATATGCATATATATATACATATATATATGCATATATATACATATATATATATATGTGCATATATATATATATATGTTATATATATATATCATAGATGGCGATGGTGTATTAATCCTGAGATATCCGGCCATTTTTCCTGCCCTTTTGGACCGCCGATTCCATGCGGTCCCAGATTGCGGGGCACCAGCCGAACGTGCTGATCCTGAACCAAGCCTTGAAGTTGGTGAAGGACCCGCAAAACCCATAGGAAGCCATGGGAAAACATAGGAAAACCCATAGGAAAATGGTGGTTTTACCCTTTGGTAAACCCCAGTAGCTGGAAAAACTAATGGTTTAATGGGATTTAATGGAATTTTATGGTGGTTTAATGGGATCTAATGGGATTTACCCTTTGGTAAACTAACATAACTATGGAAAGATCCACCATTTTTAATGGGTAAATCAACTATGTCTATGGCCATTTTCAATAGCTTTTTGTATGTTTACCAAATAATAGTATATTAAATAATATTTGCAATAGTATATAAATAGTATGATATGGTATTATATTTTTTTGATATACATATTGACATATATTAAGTGTAATGTAACAATTAATGGTGATGAGTGGTGATATTACCCTCCTGCAAACTAACAGTTCGATGCTGAGAATCCACTCTTTGTATAATCCACTACATGATTCATGGGATCAACATAATAGACTAGATTTTATTGAGATATCATGGTGATTTTATGTGAAATAATGGGATGTAATGGGATAATATCATAGTCAACACCCTTGTACCTGGATGGTAACCTAAAACATAGCTGGTATAGCTGGATGGTGAGTCCCCCAGTCATATGGTAATGTCATAGGTTTTGACCCATCCCAAGAGGGATGATTTGTGTTTCTTCGTATTTTTTCTGGCTACTATATCTATCGGATTTGCTGAAAGTCTTGAGACGTGTCATTTCTGGTACTGGATATATGTTGTTGTATTCTGAGGGTCCTGATAGAACATCCAAGTATATCTGATCCATATCGCATGACATGTCTATCGAATGAATCTGTGACCTGGTGGATTCAAAGATATGTTCCATTGCATATGGAGGTTGGACTGAAGATAGGATACCCCCATACAATCCTATACATCTATATCTGTTCATCATCACTTTCCCTATATGAAAACCCGGGCTGGGTATACCTCTGGCTGCCACGGACAGAGACGATCCTGACACCGACAACCTCACCCTTCAGGTCTTACAATATCATTTTGGGGCTGTGGGGGTAACTTGTATTGGTATGGGATTGTTCATTTATATCTTGTATAATTTGGGTTATAATTTGGGATATCTATGGAAATTATATTGTTACCACGCCCCCAAATTATTGATGCTTAGTTTGCCATTATTTGCCATTATATTCCGCGAAACATCGAAACATATCCCAAGAGTAAACGTTTACATAGATGTGAAAAACCTGGTGAAAAATCCGAAAAGAAAACACATATTTCTGGTGGGTTAAACCCACAACTAAAGGTTTACAGGCCTTTTTTTTACAGGTTCAGTTCCTGTGGATGGTTACGAAATCCGGAACCCGTTGGTAGATGGTGTCCCTGCGGCCTGCGGACGCGAGGACAGTGGCGACTATGACGAGGTACATCCAGTTGTGATGGCGAGTCATTTCTTCCATCTTGGTAGATGGATCTATTTTCTGGTGGATGGATACATCACCCATAGGATCCATGGTGCTGGTATATATGCTAACATGACTGGGGTATATTGATGGGATCCATGGAGCACCATATATAGCAGCACCATGGATCCTATGGGTCATGATACATCAGATCAAATGAGTCGCAGATCCAAGGAGGGCACGGATTGGGTACCGGAGAGGTACCGATTCCAGAAATTCCAGACTTCAACTTGTGGGAAACAGAAACAGAAGTTCGATTTGAACCAAGGAAAATGGTGATATCATGGGATATCTGGTTGGTGGTTTGGAACCATGGAATTTTATGACTTTCCATTCAGTTGGGAATGTCACCGGGCCCCAACTGACGAACTCCATCATTTTTAAGAGGGGTAGGTATACCACCAACCAGATATAATGCTGATATCATTGGTATTTTGCATTGGCGATTTAATAGATTTTCATAAGCCCAAACCTCCCGGGAAAAACATGTGTTTTTTGCCTAAGTAAAACCAATATGCCATAAATGCTAGCATTTGGGGATTATGGTTAAATCCCACACATCATATTATGATGATGGGGATTGTTTATGGCGGTTTACCACATATAAACCAATTTCTGGGAAAATCGCTGGAATGGCTGACCGAGTGTAGGGATGAGTGGAGCTATTGAGCCCTACTGGGGATGTGGCGACAAATACTGATATAAGCAACAGAATTCAAGTTTAAGGACCAATTTTCATGGGCAATATATTTCATGACAACAATGGGAAGTTAGATGAAGTTAGTGCATACCATCCCTATGACCACTCGGATGATGGTTCAGAATATACTTCTTTCTTTCCATCTCTAGGGTGTGATGATCGAAACCAAATGGGATCAACCGTGAAGACTCGATGTTCAACAGCTGAAACCGACCTGGACTTTCCGCCGACCCTAGGGTCGGTAATCAGTCACATGCCTAGAAAATCCACCATTGAAATGCAGCTAAAAAGTCTGTTTTTTTTTCCCATGGTATTACTGCAGATTACATCTCCATTTCTATGGAAGAACAAGTGCCATGTCTTACCAGAGGCGAAATCTGCTCATTTTCCCAGTGGTTTACATCCATGGTTCAGATCCGCAGGAGCAACCCTCTTTGTCCTTCGAAGGCTTTTTAAAAGCCGGACACCAAGCCTTAATCATCGACGGTCAACGTAGGTGCGAGGTCCGAAGATATGTTGTATCATAGTTGGCCATCTTTTTCAAAGTGTAATCCATAATCCAAGAACTTTCTGCTCATATTTATTTTACCTTTCTTGGCATGTGACATGTGTGGCAAACGTGAGGATTCTCGGGGGTCAATCGAAGATGCGGGGCAAAATCACCAGCAAAACGCAGGATGGGTTTAGGGTCGGATATTAAGAACGCACGGAGAATAAATGTAGATGTGTATGAATGATAGAGTTGGATCTAATCACTTCAGATGATACTAACATGAGATGATAGTGATATAGTTGGATTATCATGTTCTATCTAACAGTATCTAACCAACACTATCAGATGTAGATGGCCGAAAATCCTCGGATTCATTGACCCATTGACCTCAGCTGAGGTGGCGGATTATTGCCGCAAGACCATCCCAAAGGAAAATCGGAAATTTGCACATTTCAATCTGCAGGAGCCCGGGATAGGATGGTGTCACGACGCTGTGTTAGTAAGGGCGCGATGTGGTATGTTGCTGTCACAGCAAGTAAATGCTATATTAAGATAGGGCTCACTAATTTCTTGAAACGCGTTTTTTTTTGTGGCACCAAAGATGTTTGATGCAATCATGCTTGAAAATCTCCAACTCCACTAGTCACTTGCTTACTTATTCTTGTGTTGTCTTCACCAAGTAGTACGGCAGGGGCCTTTTTTGTTGCAGCACTCTTAGGACAGTGAACTGTTGAGCAGTGTTCAAAACCCCTTGTGTTTGATGATGATAGGCATAGGGGACTTTTTTTGGGACTTAAAAAACCCAGGGATTATCACAATCAGCGGGAAATCCCTATCAACCAGCCATATTTTCTGAAGTACCATGTTTTTAAGGATTCTCATCAGGGAATCCGGCGGGTTGTCGGCCGTGCTCCTTTGCACTTTGCATGGCAGTCCTGGGCCGCAGGAGATTGAGCAGCTGAGAACCTCCTTCAATTCTCAAGACACTGACAAGATACTTGGATGATTTGTTTCCTGGGAATCCGAATGAGCAATTCATTGGGAGATTTTGGGGCAAGTTACCAGCTTTTCTGAGACATTGGGTGATTTGACTGGTGATTTCTGGCTGTTTTGGCATAGCACTAGGCCCTTTAGGCGAGGTTCTTGTTTCTCCAAGCTCGGTTGTCGGAGTGATTTCAAGCTAGGCCCGGCTAGCTAGGCCCCTTCCGCTTTGGGAGGCATACAACCCCATTTCTTTGAGGTGTTGTGGTTGACGTCGCTGTCTAGAAGCAACCAAAAAGACACCCAAATTCCGATCTTATCCGACACATATTCCGACATTCTGGCAGTCTATCTGACATAAACCAAGTTTCTGGTGTTCACGTTGAAAACACCATGAGGCACTGCTGTTGTGGTGTTAAAAACCTCCGAGGATGTTTTTTTGTGTTGAGGGCGCCTGGTTTATCATGATTTTCCCTAGGTCAATAGGTCAATACCATCTGGTTATTTAACATAGCCATGGAAAGGTCCACCATGCTATTAAGAACGGTAAACCATCTATTTCGATTAGGGCCATCTATACCATGGCGAACTGTTAGTCATAACCAGAGGGTAGATGGGTCTTCCATTGGTCTCCCCCATTTTCAGACCCTATCATGTCTTATCATGTCTTACCCTCTGGTAATTTAACGTAGCTATTGAAAATGGCCCATTGAAATAGTGGATTTTCCCATTAAAAATTGTGATTTTCCATAGTTATGTTAGTTTACCAGAGGGTATCACTATTGATATCTCGCAAAAGGCACAAGATGGCACAAGCGATTTTCTGCTTGGTGGTTTGGAACATTTGATATTTTCCCCAATAGTTGGGATGATGATCCAATCTGACTTTCATATTTTTCAGGGGGGTAGGTCAACCATCATCTATAGATTTGATTTGAAATTTGATACACACTGTTTCCTGGGGCGGGCCAAATCACCCTGGTGTATTGGTGTCATGAATTACCCTCTGGTGAACTAACATAGCAATGGAAAATGGCCATAGAAATAGTGGATTTTCCCATGAAAAATGGTGGATCTTTCCATTGCTATGTTAGTTCACCAGAGGGTAACACGCAAAAATCCCCAGAGGGATGATTCGCGATGACGAGCACATTCTTGAGATATCCAAGGTGTTGCCCCCCAGTGAGTTCTACATTGGTTTTTCTCACCCCCATCGTTGCGAGTATATTTCGATCGATATTTACCAGAATTTTACCATAGAATCCTACGATTTATGTATCTAAGTATCTAAGTGTTATATAAAGTGTTTTAAAGTTAACCATAAATATTCATTATCCATAAACCATAGAATTTATATCAATTTACCATACAGTTCTATTAACCAACCGAGTTTTTTTTTTTAACGGCAGAAGCCTCCAACGGTGTCGGCATCCAGGAAGGGTTGGATCCCCATGGGCTCCTTCTTGTGGCTGCTGAACGACACCGACATGCAAGTGAACACCGTCAACGGCCGTGCCCGCACGTGACCTACGTGGCAACGGTGAAACACCGTTGTTTAAAACCGTAGATTGGGTCGGCATAGGAATATTTTTAGGTGTAGAAATATCAGAACTTCATAATCTTCATAGAATAGATTACTGGTTCGTGGTTTGGAACATGTTTTTATATTTTCATATATTGGGAATGTCATAGTCCCAACTGACGAACTCATATTTTCAGAGGGGTAGGTCAACCACCAACCAGATTAGGATTCAGTCACGTTCGGAAGCAAGTCTGTGTCGACTTGTTTCTGAAATCCCGCACTTTAAACCGCCTTCAGTTCAGTACCCTCTGGTAAACAGCCACATAACTATGGAAAGATCCACCATTTGTAATGGGTAAATCCACTATAAATTAATAAATGTGCCATTTTCAATAGCTTTTTGTATGTTTACCAGAGATCCAGAGGGTAGTTCAGCAGTTGTTTTTGTCAGCTCCAGATCGAAGACTTCGCATTTGTTGGGAAGGTTTCTGGCAGGCCAACGCAGCCTTTGATATTCTGAAAGTCGAATTAGCCTTTGGTCAATGGGAATTCCAGGATCCTAAAATGGAGGTACTGTACCATATAAGGCCATATTTTGTGGGGATATTCCCTTACATAGCCCTTACATAGGCCTTATATATGGTAGGTACCTCCAATTTAGGTTCCTGAAATGGCCATTGATCTGGTAGTTGGTTACAGAACCATGGAAAATGGCACATTTAAAGTGAACTTTCCATAATTTTCCCATAAAAAATGGTGGATCTTTCCATAGTTATCCTAGTTTACCAGAGAGTAGCTACTTGTTGCTGTTCGTTATCATGAGGTTTCCATGGAGGTAGCCCAAGTCATGCTGTTTTAAATGGTTTTCATACTAAGTCATGGTCGTTTCTGACGTGGACTGGATGATTGGGGGAATCCCTAGTTTAATAATGTTTAATATATAATTGCTGAGTAAACCATCCAACTGGGGTAATTTTCACCATGCCCCTATGAAGGATTTCCTGAGGAACCCGTAGAAAGTTCCCTGAGTGCCTGGAATCCATATCATGATCGGTTGATATGCACGGGGCCACGAACATGTTCCAGGTACGAGCAATTGCAACGAGCGCGAGAGGTGGGGAACGCTGATTCCTGCGTACATACATATGTAGCGATACTATATACGTATATAATCGTATATATATGGTAACGACATTTAGATATGTGGAGGGCGGGCCAGACCGCGAGGCCCCGGAGGTAGTATGAAATACCAGTTCGTATATTTAAATGTAGTTACGGTATGTTTAAATGAATTGGATTCCGTATGTTTACATGGCTGGACGGGCCAAGGAAAACCTTCCCGGAGGTAGTCTAAAATACCTGTTTGTATATTTAAAAACCCGTATATTTAAATGTAGTTACCATATATATATAATGTATATATATATATATACACAATATACATGTATATGAATTCATGATTTGTTTACAAGGAGGATCATATGTAGTATATTGTTTTTCTGAGTGTGTTTCATCCGAACGATCTGCAACATCTTTCAGGCCGCCTTGGAGGCGAGTGTTCCCATGTCTGAGGCGAGGGTTTCGTCTGTGGTTTCGACATGTGCCATAGTCAAAAGTTGGATTTTCAACCGTTAAACATAGGGGATTTTATGGAATATTTCGGGAGAAAAAATACTTAATTCAACTTGATCATGATGAAACGTTGGATTGGATAAGCCCATGAAGATGGAAAAAAAACCCGTTCCATCTACGAAAAGGAATTTCCAAGAATGGTAGCATGACGATAAGCAATGCACTCCATGAGTTCTTCAAAATACTTTGTGATTGCACAAAAGGCATGAGGTCGGTGGCGAGATGTCTCGGAATCGCCGCACTTTGTGGTGTTTTTTTGCTTTTTTGCGCGGGAAGGTGGTGTTGGTTCTGCTGTTTGTGATGAATGGTTTAACAGTTTAACAGTATTTGGAATTGGTGTCAGATGGTGAAATCAAAGTGGTGGGACTGGTACTTCATTGAGGAAGTTGTTGGCGGAGATCAACAGTTTTTTTTTGTGGTCGGTTTGTTGTCCCATAGGATCCATGTATGCCATATATGGTAACATTTACCATTAATATACCCCAAATGTTAGCATATATACCAGCACCATGGATCCTATGGGTGTTAATTTGAGCGGACAGCCGTTGAAACCCTTCCCTTTCCTTGTAAGATCCGATCCATGGTGCCATGGAATCCATGCAATGTTGGGGAAATAGATCGCATGTATACCATGTAACTTGTCCATGGCACATATGTATCCAATGTATCCCATTAAATCAATGAAATCCATCTTAAATTCCCAGGAAATCCCATTAAATCCATATTGTCCATGCTAAAATCCCATCAAATTCTATTCATACCCCATTCATGCCATATTTTCCCTACAGAAGTTCTCTACATCTGCACCGCGCCAGGTTGGTAGCGGCAGCCAAGTTCGCTTCCTACCTGTGGCGCCGCGCCAGCAGACGAAATCCATGGGATATGGACATGATCTCTAGACATTTTGTATATACATGTTATCTAATTATAGTTATAGATCATATTATGATAAGTGGATATGAAAAGATATCTTCAGACATTATAATACTATATATGTATATATACCATTGATAAAATTGATGAAACACACACACATATATATATATACATGGATAGAACTTTATAGACCATGAATATTACAATATATATATATATATTACATATATATATTATTCTATCAATAACAATCTTTCATGGATTTTTTTTTAGAGATAGATTCATATTTACAGTTTCCTCTATATTATATAATACAGCTGAAAAGAACTGTGGCACATTTCCAGGATTTTCCTGGTGAGTCTCAGGTAGATGTCCCTGAAATGGAGCTTTCCTAAGTCATGGGGGGTACCCCCAAATCGTTTGAGTCATTAAGAGTAGGCGTAGAACATGTAACGAGATGTGAAACATGCATAAAAATGCTGTATGGAATGAAGAGATGATTAAGTCCGAGAAAATTGTGTAATATATAGATTAAATGATTAATATAGGTATCCTAACAGTTTTGGGCTTTCAAACTTGACCCCTGCCATGTTTTGGAGGTGCATTTCGTCTATGAGTCCGTGAAGAACCACAACGACGCGGCGCCTTGATGGGCGATCTGGTGGGCCGGTTCGCGGCGAGATGGTGGGGATGTGATACACCGAAATTCATGGGATTTACCATCTGGTTATGACTCACATAGCCATGGAAAGATCCACCATTTTCAATAGGTAAACCAACTATAAATGGGCCATGGCTTCCATGGCTATGTTAAATAACCAGAGGGTAATAGGATTTGAGGATGATGATGATGATGGTGGTGGTGATGATGAGATATTAATGGGATTTAATGGGATATTAATCTGGATTTAATAGGATAAAATGAAATATTCATGGGATTTATACAATAGGATTTAATAAGATATCAATGGGATTTATTGGGATATGAATCATTCAATCTCGAACCTTGAAGCCTGAAGGAGTCACTTACATCTTGGAAATGCCCAATTGGTTTCAAGTTGTTTCAAGTGAGTGTGGATACCTGGATACCTAGCTGGATACCTCAGGATGTTTTCTGGCAGCTCTTTGGGTTCTTAAGTAACCCGGAAGGTGACAAAGGTATATACTACATGGTTGCTTTTGGCTTATGATTACAGTGCATTGCATTGACATATCCCTGGTGAAAATCTCAGCTTAATGACCATGTTTCTGGTTGATTAGATCATCATTGCTGGATCAAAGCTCTACGACATCCGGAAATGTGGCACGTGCCCCAAGAGATTGTGCCATTTTCATGTGGAGCTTTGAACAAAAAGTCATGGGAAAACAGAAAAATCATCCAATCCAAGTCATGGATGATCAGTTTCCTATGGTGAAACCTATGGTGAAACCTATGGTTTTCCCTACGAAACTGGGGATCCTCCATGACGAACCCCCCATGGCCTAGGTCTTTCATCGGGAAGACGAAGCCTTGAAGGTGGAGACGATGGAGACGCTGGAAGAAAACAACCGTGGTTCCCTAAGGAAAATATAACTTACAAACGGTGGGTTAAACTTATAAAACCCACGTCTATGTGAAAATCTACTGGAGGGTATATGTACTGATGGTTTATTTTTGGGGTTTCCCAACCAAAAAAACTAGGGACTTACCAACCGACAAACAGAACAGCATGTGATTTTTACCAAGGAAAAACTGTGCTGGTTTTGGTGATATCATGGGGATATAGTGGGCATATGTGGGAAAGCCAATGCCATTGGCACCCAGCATTTGGAAATGGTTTATCCCAGCCAGAAGAATGGTAAAATTTAGGGTTTAGGGTTTATGGGTTTACTGCATGACTGGGAAAAAAATGGTAAAACAGGGGTCCTACAATGTGAGGCCCCCCAGTTATAAGTTGGTTTATAAGCCCCAGTAACTATAGTTATAAGTACCATAAACCGTAGTTATTGGAGTTATAAACCAACTTAGCTATCTTGGGGGCCTCACATTGTAGGGAGTATATGTTCATTGTTCAGTTGTTATGTTGTTTTTATGTTGGGGTTCAATGTTTTATGGGGAAATAAGAAATATGTTTTAGGGGAAAACTCACTGGGCGGATAGTTGAGTACAAGTTCATCTTTAGCCATTGTCAGATGGAGGTTTCCTAAGCCATGGGGGTACGGAAAGTCATCATCAATTTTATGCTCAGATTTCCCTATCGTGAACCATCCACTTTGGGGATCCCCCATGTATAGAACCGCCCATATGTTATATAATATGTGTAATATAACGTAACATAGTATAATATGATTCAATACAATATAATATAGCGGCTTGGCCTTTGCAGTTAGGATCCAGCCAGCAGAGATATAATATAATGTAATAAGTAATGTGTATAATACTTATTTTTATAACTTATAATATAATATATGTATATATAATAATACTAGTAATAATAATAACAATAATAATAACAATAATAATAATACTAATAATATATATAATTTAATATATAATACATTTACATAATATAATATGTAATATATATATATATAATTTATCATATATAATATATAATTAAAATGCTGATAATCATGATGAATATACTATATCATGTATACACACATATCCACACAAACCATTGTTTGCAGGGTATCCAATCTCTGCCGGGGAGATACACCGGAATCATGGGGTACAAAATGAAGGTTTCCATAGTAATCGAGGTACCCTCTGGTAATTTAACATAGCTATTGAAAATGGCCCATTTATAGTGGATTTACCCATTGAAAATGGTGATTTTCCATAGTTATGTTAGTTTACCAGAGGGTACACCCAAATGGATGGTTTTGATGGAACATCCGAAAATAAAACGGATGATTTTGGGGTACCCCCATGACTTACGAAACCTCCGAATGACTAAACCACGGTACTTCAATACTCTACTCGGGAATTTGTGGGATACTCACCAACAATAACGGACAGATAACATGATGCAACTAATCAGAAGATATCAGAAGCCTGCCTGGCTTTGAGTAAGAGGACTGGTCAATGGTTTTGTTAAAGAAACTATATGTTTTCTTTTTTCCTCGGTATTGAGGGTTAGCCATAAGGGCCATAAGTACACTTTGTGGCAATATGTACCATGATCAAAAGTTGGATTGTATACCCGAAGTGTGGGAAAGGTCATCCCTCATTGATAGGAGTCAATACACCCATCATTATGACTGCCTAATTGTGGCGGGATGATCATACACCATATACATCCACATACTATGTTTGTATCATGGCACATATGATAACAGAAACTGCACCATCAGCACCAAAAGACGTTGTCTGGATCGATTTCGATCAGTTCAACCAAATGCAGGAAGTGATACTGTATTTCACATAGCAATATCCGCCAGGGAAATGATTGTGTCAAGTTCACCCGCAAAGTTTGAAAACATGAATAGACACGCAACGTGTTTAGATCCCATTTTTTGTAACACCCAAATTTTGGTTTCAACTGTTTTTTTAAGCACGGCTTTTCATGATATATGTTATGTGTTGTTTGCTTTTTAAATCTTATTTTTGGAGATCTTTATTGGATATATCTTATTACGATAATGATATGTTTCTCATATATTAGGAATATATTTATTGGAGATATACTGAATATATCTTTATATGGTGGTTTCCCAAAATAGGCGTACCCCCACATCATCCATTTTTGTAGGGTTTTTCCTTATAAACCATCCAGCTATTGGGGTACCCCCATATCAATGGGAATTTCAGAATCGTAAAATGGAGCTACGTTAGTACCCCATAAGACCATATTTTGTGGCGATATTCCCTGAAAAATAGGCCATGTATATGGTATAGGTACCTCCAATAAATCGTTTCCTGTCCATTGACCAAAAACATCTCCAATATATCGATCTCCAAGAGTCTTACCCTCTGGTAATTTGTTACAGTTTGCTATTGAAAATGGCCATAGACATAGTTGATTTACCCACTAAAAATGGTGGATCTTCCAACAGCTACGTAAACGTTTTCCAGAGGGTATAACAAATCATATTTATTTTTTGGTATAATAGTAATAATAGTTATTATCATAGTAATAGTTATTGCTATAATGTGATTATATATATATATATATACCATCTGGTTATGACTAACAGTTCGCCATGGAAAAATCCACCATGCTATTAAGAACGGTAAACCATCTATTTCTATGGGCCATCTATACCGTATGGCTATGTTAGTCATAACCAGAGGGTATTATAAATGGCCCATTTATAGATGATTTTCCCATTAAAACCTCCATTTCCAATGGATTTTCCATGGCTATGTTAGTCATAACCAGAGGGTACATCAATATACCATACCTTATTGTTTCACCATTATACTAAGGTATATAGTATATTAAGATGATCCCCAAAATGTGTAACTATCTATCGAGAGGGTATATCTCCAATATCTGGTCTACCATGGCGGCTTTTCTACATCGTTCCATGATCCCAACAGGCCGTGGAGTTTTCAAGCGAAGAGGCACCGGATGTTTTTCCATCGCGGATGAAGTGGTCTTTTTGTGGTAAACAAAATGGTTGGAAATGGGAGAAATCATCTCTTGATGGCCATTGAGATAGTTGATTTCCCGAACTTAAAGATGGTGGATCTTTTCATAGTTATGTTAGTTAGGTAAATATACAAAAAACGATGGAAAATCCACCATCTTTAAGTTCGGGAAATCAACTATTTCTATGACCATTTGAAAAAAAAACTATGTAACAAATTACCAGAGGGTAAATGGGGGATTGTCCATTGCAAGGTTTGATTACCGGAGGATACATCAATTAGATTCCAAGCATTTTGTGTTTGGTCATTTCAGAAAGAAATCAGTTGGACAATTGGAAAAAGGTGAATAATTAAGTGGGAAATTCCAAGGTCGCTTTTGGCAAATGACTTTCCAATTTATGGCAATTTATGCTGGTATGTTTCTCACAATTAGGGTACCCAAAGCCATTGGTTTCCGTAATCAAAATGACAAAGAATTTCAGGATGAATTTGGGGTTCCCCTTTTTTTATAAATAAGGACCCCGACCAGAGATTATTTAGAGATGGATGAGTAATTCAACCAGCGAACAGAGATGAAATGACTAAGTGACTAGGATTGTCCATTCTCACACTATGACACTACAAAACCACCAAAGATGTGAAGTCAAAAGTCCGAGGGAGAAAACGCAGTGAATTAGAACCAACAATAGCGTGGTAAAGAACCAGCAAGGATTGGAATGGAACTAACCAGCAATTTTGTCTGATGTAACCAAGAAAACAATACAAAGCACGCGGACTTCCTGCACCAATTGGTCCAAATTTGGCGTAGTTGACATCTAAAAATGACATACCAGGCTTAAGCAATGCGATGAACCCTCTAAGATTTCGGGCTTTGAGCCAGCTGTATTTTCTCAAGACAGCACATCAAAGTGAAAACGGGTTGTTCAAGTTAAGTATGTCAGCCTGTACTTCCATCGAATGTGAACAAGAGACTATTTGGATCTATGTGAAAGCTTCTGCGCACTCTGTACGGAGTTGCAAGGATCGCCGCCTTGGCCAATCGCACTGAAGATGTGCGTTTTCCCGTGGGCGATTTACCGCAACTGTCGCAACTGTCGCCACCCGATTCGTGGCTTGGGCCCTTGTGGGCTCTGGGAGATCCTCACTTTTCTGCCTGGAAAAAATGGATGAATTGCTGTGAATCTACAAGAACAGAGCAGAAATGGTTGAAGCATTGAGCCAGCTACTGATACTGAGGCTCTCTACCACATTCAAATAGCGAAGATCACGAACAGAGACATCAAAGTACTCTAACTCTAGCTCACGTGAACCTTTTTGTGGTTCCTAGGATTCCTAACCAGAAGTCAAGGTCTCTATTTGCTCGAGTTTAGGTCCAAGATAGACGGAGAAGACGACTTTACTGGCCATTTGGCCAGTCTTGGGATTCCATGCAAAACGTCAAACTTCTTAGTAGGGCATCGTGTGGGGTCAAGATGACGAATAGTGTTAGGGGGATTGTGAGCCCCAATGTATGATATTTATGGCCGTTTTTAATAGGGAAGAGTAATAAAAAGTGTGAAGCAGTGCAATTGGAATTGATGAATTTGGTGTTCACATATTTTCAGGTACATTTTTTTTCAAACATGTTTATGTGATTCATTAAATTCATTATATCTGCCATTATATCCAAAAAAACCATGGTCCCCCCCCAATGGTATCCCCATCCCCATCCAGGGGATAGACAGGAGGGTCAGTGCTACGTTTTGGGATGCAGTTGGAATAGTTTTTCATGGGTATAACTTGGTATAACTAAATTTATATACCATTTCTGGTTGGTGGTTTGGAACATTTGTTATTTTTCCATTCAGTTGGGAATTTCATAATCCCAACTGACTTTCATATTTTTCAGAGGGGTAGGTATACCACCAACCAGCCATTATATACCATGGTATAGCCATGAAATGATTAAAAACCCTGTAAGCCATCCATAAGTTGGGATAATTGGGGTACACGCCCAGCGAATGTCAGAGTTTATTTTGGTCGCAGATGTTGGATCTTCTAATGCTGAGGGGCTGTATCTGGTGTGTGGTTTCAAACATTTATTGTGGGTATTTGTTATATATAGTAAGTAACCAGCAGATAGGAAATTCAGGATTGCCAGGTCAGCAGATAGACCAGCTGTTTATTCTATCTGCTGGTTACTTGCTATAGAGAATAATATACACATACATATATATATATATACATCCCTTGTTTGACTTTCACCTATATTCTTCGGATTGATTTCTACATTTATCCCAATCCATTGTTTGAGAAAACACATTGTTATATCCCAGTCATATCATGTTATATCCATTGATTAACCATTGATTAAACATTGATTAAGCATTGATTAGCCATTGATTAACCATTGTTATATCAACCATTGTTATATCAACCATTGTTATATCCCCATGATATTCGCCATGGATTTTCCCTTTTGATATCGCCATGTCCGGGACTCAGATGCGACAGATGCCGACAGAGGTGGGTCAATTCCGAGAGCTCTTTGGCGCACTCGTCCAACAGCATAAGGAGGAATTGCAGGTGGAGCCGAAGCCGGTGGTGCTGGGGCTGAAGGGTATAGTAATCCCATTAGTAATCCCCAGATGGACAAGTCAATCACCATGACTGGTTGGTGGTTTGGAGCATGACTTTTATTTTCCAATCCATATATGGGATACATAATCCTTCCCGTTGATGAACCCATATTTTTCAAGATGGTTAAGTCACCAACAACCAGATCACCATGAAATTCGTAGTAGCGTGACTACTTTTCCATCTGTGGATGACTGTAGATGAGCGCTACCCCCCTTTCGCGGTTACCGTCTTGTCGCTGTGACAGAAGCTGAGCGCAAAATGATGAACGCCAATCTCTTTGAAAATAACATACCCTCTGGTTATTTCACATAGCCATGGTATAGATGGCCCAAAGAAATAGATGGTTTACCGTTCTTAAAAATAGTGGATCTTTCCATGGCTATGTTAAATAACCGGATGGTAAAATCAAGACATCCTTCTCATTCATGTTTCGTTCTGAAGGTTTTCAAATCTCTTGTCGATTCCCCATATGCGAATGGCTATATATGATGCTACACAAAAGGGGGTTGGCATTTGTTCAGCCCAAAAAAGCTGGGCTTCAGCGAGATAATTCGCTACTTCGGTGCAACTACAACTACAATAACTGTTGGGTATCTGGATATATTTATGGTAAACTAACATAACTATGGAAAATGACCATTTATAGTTGTTTTGCCCATTTCACATGGCAATTTTCAATAGCTATGTTAATTTACCGGAGGGTATATTTATGGTAGAAATATTGAAGTGATTTTCATTTTTCACACGGGTTGCAAACCAACAAACATAACTGGGAGGCCTACCTTATATGAAATAGGTTTTAAATCCATATCAATCCCATATCAATTCCATGAAATCCAGATAGTGTTTTGCAACAAAATCCCATTAAAACAAGTAAAACACCAATGAAATCCCATTAAATCATCATAAATCACCATTAAACACTATTAAATCACCATTAAACACCATTAAATCACCAGCACGGCTCGCACGACATTTGCCGAGGCGGCTTCTGACAAAGCCAACGAAGCGCCCAAAGTGGGACGACGGCTCTCGGTGCCTTCGGTTGCCGGGGGATGATTATGGTGATAGCGGAATATATCTATCTATCTATCTATCTATCTATCTATCTATCTATCTATCTATCTATCTATCTATCTATCTATCTATCTATCTATCTATCTATCTATATATCTACATATTATATATATATATATATAATTGTGTAAATATATATATATATACTGGGTAGTGGTTTTGAACATGATTTTTATGACTTTCCATTCAGTTGGGAAGTTCATCATCCCAACTGACGAACTCACATTTTTCAGAGGGGTTGAAACCACCAACCAGTATATATGTATATACATATGTACATTTAGATGAATTTCTATATTTGTATGTATATTTGTATAACTGGGTTCATGATAATGTTAATGAACATATTAACAACAAGAACAGATCATCATAGTAATGAATAAGAACGATAATAGTAAAACAACTCAATATCGGCAATAACAATAACAGCATATATAGTAAGAAATGAAAAAACATATAGTAATAAGAATGATAATGGTAACATTACTAATGATGACTAACAATGACGATAACCATAAGAATGCTATTGACAATACTATTGATTGTTAATTATTATGTGTATACATATATATATATAATACAGTATGCAGTATTGTACTCCCCCAAAGCATTGTAATTTAGTTGTCAATATGAACTGAGCACAAAGCTTTCAGATTCCCCATGACAACAGACACACCTGTGTTTCTGACGGCTTTGCAGTATTCAAACATCCTTCCGTAGTAGGATCCTTGTGATCTTTTAAAAGAAAACTGGAGGGGGGTTGCTCAATTCGAAGCTGTAAATAAGATGAATCTGGCCAAAAGGTCCATTGTTTGCTGATTTTTGGTGACAAAAATAGCCGGAGCTGGCGGCGTTACTGGCAGCCATGGCTCCCATCCCCCAAAGGTTACGCCCCTGTAAAAAGTCATCCCTATTGCAGTTGAACGAATAATTCCATATATATATATATCCCATAGGAGTATATAGTTGAATGTTCCATATGATATATATTCCATATAGTTGTTATTCCATATATTTGGTATATTATATATATACTCAGTATATGTCTATGTTATCCCCCAAGACCCCACTTTTCAGATGGGAATAACGCCACAAAATAACATACAGACATACATACGTACGTACATACGTACATATATAGATGTATCCTTCCAAAGAAGTAGAATCAACCAGACAAAAGTGAAGAACAATGTAAAGCAGTAGAGCCCTTTAAAGAAGCAGTACCCCTACAAAATATAGAGCATTCCTATTAAACATGCAGTGTTCCTTTCAGAAGTGCAGTCTTTGTTTCAGAAAATTGCTCAGCCTTCCTGGAAAATCATCTAGTATTTCTCTCAAAACACCAAATTCCTACACAATGCGCAGTGTGTGTTGACGTCGATGCACATTGCAGCATTGCACATAGACTCGGGCCGAGGCCGTTCAAGCCGCGCAGGTCTTGGCAGAGGCGTGGAAGAACTCACGAAAAAAACATCGGCTTCATGGCTACTATGAAAACACAGTTAAACAAATAGACAAAAGACTTAAAATATTAATACATGTTCATAATGTGTCATATGTATGTATACCGATGTGTATAATTATATACATATAATATATATATATATATATATATTATACATTGATATACAGCCAATCATCAATTGTCATCATAGCCAATTTTCAGAATATGTTTATTAACCTTGGCAGTAAGTGCAATTTGTGATTATGGGTCGATCCATGTCGATTTGAGGATGTCCAGGACCATTAACCAGAGGGATGGGCCAACAATATAGCAAAGTTTGGGAAAGAACCACCAAAAATATGTGCAACAGTTGGATTAAGCCAAGAAAAAGGGAGGTTATCTTGCCATCTCATGGGAATTTCATAGGGAATCATAGGGATATAGTGGGGCATCGCAGATACACCCTATGATTTCATAGGGGTAGGCCCCCATTCTACAGCCAGATGGGGGTATACCGTGGTGATGATTTCCATGGTAACCCATAGGATTTGGGGACTCCAGTTGTGCCCTCATCACTGGACGTGGCCCCATACGCTGCGCAAGTACGATTTGGCAGAGCACTTCAAGGCGAGAAAGCCTGACTACGTCACTGAATGGGTTCACGAAATGTTGTGGGGAAAGGGACTCCGTCAGATTGCCAAGAGAGGTATCGAGCTGGTGCAAGAGGCCAGGCAAAAGCATGGTGACCAGGCTCGAATCAATTTACATCTCGCATGGTTTGGCAACGAGCTAGTTGGCGAAAACGGCATTGCACAGAACCCCAACTGGCCTTATGATGGACCGAATGGTCATCGGCCTGACCTGATGGCTGACAGCCTTCGCCACCTCCGATGGTTGAAGGACCTGGCTGCCAGGAGTTGGATGTGCGCCGTTCCAGAGATCAAAATCGCATCCAGACCCATGGAGTGTAGTTGACTTTCATGCCCCAGAATGTGTGGTAAAACCACCAATAATGAACCGTCCCCAATTACACCAGAAATTAGTTTGTAATATTACGGTAAATACTCATAGTTAAATAATGTTAAATAGACGCATTTCTGATACGATTGGGAATGATTACTTGGATGCGGTCCAAAGGTTTCTTTTTGGGTGGGCGGTCGTCCCTGGGTCTGGCGTCACGATTTCGCCGATGTCTTGGTCGATGCTTCTTTCCAACCCACCTTCTCTCCCGCCACTTGGGATCACATTCCTGGCGCTGGGTCTTCGCTTTGTCCCTGGGGGTGTCAGTCGGCTGGGTTCTGGGAACACATTGTCTGGTCTTGCAATTGTCGTCCTGCCCATACCCCTGCTAAACCTGCCTGTGCTTTCCTGGCACGTTTCGGTTGGGCTCAGACCACTCAAAACCTGTCTCTTAATGAGGTGACTAAGGTGCGTCGGTGGCTGGCTGAATGCCAGACTGCGATGTGGTCAGCTAAGGATCACTAAGGATCTCTTGGCACGTGGTATTCAATATGGGCTGCACGCTTCAAAGTCCTCTTTGGGGATGATTACTTTGATTGGCTCTGCCACGTTGAACAACATTGAAAACGACCCTTTCCAGAGAAAAAAACAAGTTCCGAAATAGAGGACGCCACAACGAGATTAAACAACCACCATTTAAAGCAGGTACTTCACCCTCCATAGAAATGGACTAACACATATCTCATTTTGTATGTCCCATGTAGAAAACATACCCCCATGATTGGTTAACATCCCATGTTGGAAAAATGTACCCATCAGATTTGGGGCATCCCCAGCCACTGGTGAGTCTCCCAACTTGGGAGAACTTGGATGTCTCCAGTCCACTTGTTTTTCTCGTTGTTTGCAGGTTTCAGTGTTTTTTCTCCAAAAAAACATGTGTGCCTATGACGTTTCGGCATACTTAGATACATGAGATAGCCTCCGTAGAGGTATCGGTCAAGTCCTTGGGTGTCCTCAGGTCTTCTTTGTTTAACACAAAACCTAATTCGCCTGAACAAATGCCGCTAAATCCCATGATCAATCATGCTTAATCATCATCTCCCCCTGCTAAATCCCATGGTTACTCTTTCGTTTCCCTTGTTTTCCCCGCCTAAAACTGTGTTGTTGTTGGGGATGTACCTGATCCAACACACCATGGATCAACCTTTGACTGTTGGCAGGCAGAAGAAAACATGCGGCTCCAAAAAGAAAGGCGGGATTGCGCCAGGAATCATGATGTTGAATTGGTTGGTTTTCATATGTTTTCATGATCCATAACCATTATTAACCCATTATGAAAACCTGCGTTCAAAAGGGGGATTATCCTAATATTTCACCAACATGTTCAAAGTGATTTTCCCACGATCAATGGAATCGATGCTTGGTTTGATGATTTTTCATTCTTTAACGGTCGTGAAATGGTGGTGAATTCTTTGGTTCCAAAATCATCCATTTATAGGGGTGATTCCCATCATTTCCCATGATTTTCCCATTGTTTATAGGGGATTCTTGCCGCTTCCCAGACATTTCCATGGTCTCGGTCCGAAGGGAGCTCACCTTGGGAAACGTCATCCGCAAACTCACCAGCGTGGATCGAGACGCTCGGACCTTTCAACTGGGGTCTTCCAGGTTGGAAATCAGATGTCAAAGATGGGAATTCTATGGGAATATGGTGATATAATGAATGGGATTCAATGGGATTTCCAAAAAAAATGGGACTTTATAGTGATTCAATGGGATATTAACGGGATATACCCTCTGGCAGTTTGACATAGCTTTTGAACATGGCACTTAGAAAATGCGTGATCTACCTATTAGTTCGATGGTGATGTTCCATAGCGAACTGATGCGAAGTGTTAGGTGATACCAGAGGATTTTAAGGTGATACCATGTGAGTAATTATAATTTGGGGATGATGATTTTGTGAATGTTTGATATCATAATTTTGGGGCATCATTTAATATATTGCTGATATTATGTGAATAATTGTGATTATAATTAATATTATAATATACTATCGCTAATATTACCTGATTTTGAGATTATATTTTGAATTTAGCTAGCAAATATTCCCTGGGAGTATAACGGTGATATCATGGATTATTGAGTATCGGTCTGTCGGAAAAACAATATAAGGGGCCATTAATAGGGATAGCATGTTTTTTGGTATATTAGTTTTTTTTTGGTACATGATAGTTTTATTAAGATACATAAGATATACACTGTGACATAACAAACTGGTATTAGCTATTGAATATATGGTGTTCTTGGTCCGATTTTCCGAAATTACCATTGAATATCATTTAATATCGTTTCCCATATGCTCCATGGTGCTGGTATATTTGCCTACACAACTGGGTCATTTATGGGGTAAATGTTGGTGTTCATATTCCAGCACCATGGTTCGCATATGGCGTTGGGAAAGAAAGCCATGGCAGATATGATGGTGAAGCGATGTTGGGATGCCCATTATCCGAAGCATGTTGTCAAGTTCAAAAGAGTGGATAGCAGAATGGTAATCATAATGGTTTATCATGTCTTATCAACATAATTTGACATTTGTTTGTTTTTTTTTAACGATACTGTAATTTGACAACAACAGGTTTAATCTGCAAAACACGGGATAGGAAGCTTCATTGTTTGTGTTTCAATCAGATTCGAGCCACGTTGGTTATGTTGGTGCATTGGCTGGTCGTGGTCGTGACAACAGTCCCGATCTCATTTCAGATTGGTGCACGAAGAAAATTACGCGGCCAGATCAGTATTCATTCTCGATGGTCACTTACCCATGACGGATCCATGGTGCTGGTATATTAATGCTAACATGACTGGGGTATATTAATGGGATCCATGGCACACCATATATGGCAGCACCATGGATCCGTCATGGGTTAAAACACCAGCATCACAGTGGATGCGCGGAACATGACATAGTTGAAGTCCAACAGCATAGCATAGGCCTTGTTTTGGGTTAACATCTGCAAATTTCATCGGCAACAGCAGGGTTACTGAGGTTCCAGGCACTGAAGTGGTGAAGATGATGGCGATGATGGGCGTGAAGGTGGTTCTGATGTTCGCGGCGTGCCATGGTCCATGGCATGGATGATGGTTGGTTGTTGTTTTTTTCTTACATGGGTTTAACATGCTTTCACTAGCAACACATGGGGGAATTTATGACTGTCATGGCTGGAGGACTGAGAGAGGTATCCCAGGTGGTGCCCCAGGAACTAGGCTATGGTTGATGGCAGGTACAACTGTCGTTTTTTTTTGGGGAGGTTTATAAACTGGGGGGAAAAAAATACCTTGCTACTTCCCATCAAAGTTACAGCAGATTCTGACACCCGTGGATTTACCCCAAACTCACCACTCCCCAGTTGTGGATGGAAGAGTTTTTTCAGAGTGAAAGAAACCAGAAGATCCACTTAAGTTTGCTATACATAGGAATATCATGGAATATAAATCTTCTTTTCAATCTGTGACTTCCAATATCTTCCAATCTATGGGGGATCATAGGAATATCATAGGAATATAATCCTTCTTTTCAATCTGTGACTTCCAATATCTTCCAATCTATGGGGGATCATAGGAATATCCATGGAATATAACAGATTTTTTTCAACCTATGATATTATATTCCTATGGTATTCCTATTATATTTTCAACCTGGAATATAATACATAGGAATATCATAGGAATTTCCAAATCTACGTGTTATATCTTAAGTTATTCTCTATTGTGCTGGGCGTCTTCGATTCTATGGGGGATCATTGGATTGGTGTCCAGTCCCATGAACCACTACTTCTATACCCGGCCTGGAAAACTAACACAAAAAAAAAAGCGACATGGAAGCCATGGCCCAGTCGAAATAGTGGATTTACCCATTGAAAATGGTGATTTTCCATAGCTATGTTAAATTACCAGAGGGTAATAGCTGTCCATTATTTTTTTAAATGGCGTTTCCGTTGAACCAATCCAACGAACCAAGACATCAGACGTGCTTCACACGCCAGATCTCTGCGCCCTTGCGTCAAGAATTGATGGAAAGGAGCTGACGTTCGGCCTGGGGCGCTGGGGAGAAACGGCTTTCGTTGGTTCCCAAACGAAGGGATACAGTACCCTTTGGTAATCAAACATGGCTTGAAGTTAACGGCGGGATACAATGGTTGATTTTTTTTTGCGTTCAACAAAGACATATATTGGAATATTGTATGATATACTAGAAATAATGATGATTCAGCAGATGGAATGCTAGCCTTTTAGACATTTCAAGCCTTTCAGATTCATGAAGTCCCTGAGATTTAGAGCCTTTCAGCTCTGGATCGATCATCCTTTTCGTCCCTGTGTCCTGCAGATTCTCCTGCCGTTCTCCCAGGACGGCGCAGTTCTCGGATGTCCCAGAGGACGGACTCGACTTCCCCGGCTTTTTGCAGTTGATGAACTGGTTCGGGTCGCCCAGGCTGCCAGGTGACATAGCGCCTGAGAAGCCGAGAGTATCCGAGAGTAGTGGTGCTGTTGTACTGGACTGAAGCAGTGTTTGAAGCAGTGTTTAGCCTTTATATCTACCCTCTGGTAATTTAACGTAGCTATGGAAAATCACCATGTTTGATGGGAAAACTCACTATAAATGGCCATGTTCAATAGCTATGTTAAATTACCAGAGGGTATGATGAAAGAAAAGAACATACCTTGAACCGATTCTTTGAAGCCGTTGTTTTGTTTTCATTGATGCACGGCATAAATGATGATGATCAGCCGACTGTGCTGCTTCACAAGGGGGAATGACCCCCCAAAAGTATGTATGTATTATAAATTATATATATATATGTTTTTTGTATGCAGTAGTAGTAGTAGTAGTAGTAGTAGTAGTAGTAGTAGTAGTAGTAGTATCAGCAGCAGTAGTAGCAGTAATAATATATCTTAAGTTAGCCATACACTAATATTCAGTACATATGTTCTTTCAACATGTCCCTGCTTTCCTCAGGATGGTTCGCAGCAACTTTGGCAACATCAACGGCGCAGCAGAGAAGACTGTGAAGTTGGGGGCTCTGCGAAGCTGCGTTGCTCCAGTGGGGATGTGTTAAAATAAAAACATGTTATGTCACTGTGCTCAAATGTGAGATAATGAGATATAGAATGAGATAATTTGATATGTAATTATATATTATATATATAGTTGGGATAAACATATATATATATATTAAATTACATATATATATATATATATATCAAATTATATATATATATCTATCTGGTTGGTGGTTTGGAACATTTTTTATTTATATATAGACAGATATATATTGGGAATAATAATCCCAACTGACGAACTCATATTTTTCAGAGGGGTAGGTATACCACCAACCAGATATAGTGATAGAACCACTGTATTTGCTAGCTCAAATGTGGCTTAGCAGCCATTTGCTTATGGCTCAAACATGACTGCCAAACGGAGTTGATCGTTGTTGGGTGAGTGTTAAACAGCTCCCACTGTTTTGCTCGCCGCCCTTGTCTTGAGCTTCATGAAACTCACAATTTGATCAACCCAGAATATATATAGTTATTCGTACATAGTTAATGTACATATATGCTCTACTTTTTGGTGATCTAAGCTGAACATTTCACATGTCACATGTTTTTACATTTCTTGCTTTTGTTCATGACCCACATGTGTTACCATCTGGTTATTTAACACTTCGCCATGGAAAGATCCACCATTTTTAAGAACGGTAAACCATCTATTTCTATGGGCCATCTATACCATGGCTATGTTAGTCATAACCAGAGGGTACATCAATATACCATACCTTATTGTTTTGCCATTATACTTTGGTATGGTATATTAAGATGATCCCAAAAATGTTCATGTGTTAAGTGCATTTCATGACGTCCATGGCTGACATAAAATGAACGCGGCGTCACCAAAAAAACCATCGAGGTCGAAGGGGCTTATGGACAAGAGCGGCCGCGGGGGCTCCCAGCTGGCCTTGCCAGGAGAATCTGTTGGATGTGTTACCCGGCCTGGTAAACATACAAAAAGCTATTGAACATGGCCCATTTATAGTGGGTTTTCCCATTGAAAATGGTGATTTTCCATAGTTATGTTAGTTTACCAGAGGGTAAAACAAATCTGAACGAAAATTTGGAGAGAATAGAACATTGAAGCCATCCACATGTTGGAGGGTCCGATTAAAGATAAAAAAGAACATTTGTTGAATAGACATTTAGCACAAGGGGGCTGAGGTTTGCCCGAAACCTGCGGAACTCCGTGCTGGACTGCAAGCCTCTTCTCCATACTTTGCAGCGATTCGATCCGCTTTTCCAGAAACCTCAACATACCGTAAAACCTGAGAAAAGTCTGAGAAAACAAAAACAAAAACAAAACAACACCCCAAGTAAACCCTAGACAATTCCTGTTAATAAGCTAATCCTAAATCAGCCATGAATAATCATAAAAAACTCTAAAACAACCTTGAATAAACCAGAAAGCAACCCAATATAGCAATAAATATTGAGTTAACAAACCTTAAATAAGATCTAGGCCAACCCTAAGCCCTAATCAAACCCTAACACCACCTTAAACGATTCCTAGACTAACCCCACAGTAAACCCCCAGTGAAACTATGGGCGAACAGCGGCCGACCAAGCCCCGATGGGTGATTTTTTTGGACCACAGCCCACTGATGCCTCCCCGGCCAATTCGCCAAAAGGTGTTGAGTTTCTTCATATCCCCAATCCCCATCAGAGTTAAGATACTCCCATATCACAAAAAACAACTCATATATAATCTCATATATATATATATACACATTGTATGTATGTATGTATATATATATATATATCATACCAACTCATATAATATCACGTATAATAGATAGATATTATATATATATATATCATACATGATCATAGCCCATATCATAGCTGAACAAATTCTCCACAGCAAGTTCAACGGCATCTCTGGAGGCCTTCAGGCGGGCTTGGTCTTTGGCAAGTTTGGACACATGGACACCGTGGCGGTTCGCACCAGGACCCCAAGGGAGCCCAGGGACCGTGGAGGGACCCCAGGGACCCCAGGGACGGGACCGTGGCGGGATGACCGAGGGACGAAGGGACCAAGGGCCATGGGATATGTTGATATGCAACAAACATCAACAAACATATTGAACCACACATAAAAAAATGTGTTGTTTATGAGTTTATTATGTATTTTCATGTTTATTGTATACTTCCAATTGGGATAACTATCTATAATGTCAACCTCGGATGCATGGGATTGGAGATGTTTTTGGCGCCCAAACTTTGGGATTTTTTTCGTGGTGAAATGATGTGACATGGGACATGGGACATGGGATATAATGCCAACCCTGGATGAGACTAAACCATGGTTTATGAATTAGGGATACCCTCTGGTAAACATACAAAAAGCTACTGAAAAAGTGAATTGCCATAGAAGTAGTGGATTGTCCCATTAAAAATAGTGAATTTCCATAGTTATGTTAATTTACCAGAGGGATAATTAGGGGGCTTCCAATAGTCATTTCATCTGATACATGGTAGCCTCCCAATTAAGCCGTCTGGGGTTATTAATCCAGGGTTGACATTATGCAACAAATATGAACCACACATGGGGATTTGCAAATGATTCTTGAGACTCTAAACATTGGGATAACATATGATAAAATATGTTATAACTATTTACTGTAATAAAGGCAGTATAGCCAATGATGATCTGGTTGGTTGTTGGTGTTCATTGGTATGTTCTATCCCTCATTGGCAAGCATAAAAGTTTCATCGGGGTCGAAACCATATCTGGGCTATTTAAAGTTATCTAAAATCTAGATGTCTTTGATTTGTTTATATGGCCTGTTTGACCATTGACTTATATGGGCGATTTCTATCTCTTTACCTATATGGGCATTTTTGTTTATAGTTGACCCTTGAACAAAGACCTGCCATCCCAGTTTGTTTCTATCACTGCCTGGTATGATTAGTACTGCAGCTGGTTTAACCAAACATGTATGGTTGGTGGTTTCAAACATGTTTTATTTTCCAAAATATATGGGATAATCCTTCCCATTGACTAATATGTTTCAAGATGGTTAAGTCACCACCAACCAGATGTTTCTGGACCACCCGTTTCTTAAATCATGTCAATGATCTACCCTCCCAGTTCTTGTGAACTCCTCCTTTTCGTTGGTTGCCTCCCCATTTTTTGATGCTTCGTCTACCATTTTTTCGTTTGGCATCTCCATGTCTAACGGTGAAGTTCAGATGTTCACCTGATATCAGAAGTTTTTCTGTTTGTCTCTTCCATTTACCCAGTTTTGTTCCATATTAGTGGTTGGATGTATGATATCATACATGTATAAAATTACAATACATGCGTATATATATATATATATATGAGCCTCCGCAAAAACCCGGGCAATACTAAACATGTAAGGGACGGACATTGTTTTGTGAAAATTTATAGAAATTGTTGAAAACACGAGGTAAGCGATGGGACCTTCCCAAATTAGCGATACCCCCTTTCAAGATTATGTCATGAATTGTGTAGGGTTAGGCTCACAAGGGCACGTGCTCCTCAGAAAGTGTTCTTCTTGATATTCATGGAGTGGTCCGCAGAGAAGGGAAATCGCAGAAGCGGAAAGCAAGTCCCTGTAAAAATGTTTGCTTCACTAGCAGCTAGTTGCCTTCACATCCTTGCCGTGCATGTTTTCATTGACCCTCCACTTGAACTTTCGCCATTTCGATTGTCTCTCCACAAACTGGGTGTCCATGCCAAGGAAGCTGGCAACTCAGTGTGGCGTGGTGTGGTGCAGGGTTCAAATTCAGAGACCCTCACCGTCACCTGGCGGTGGGGAAAAAGAGATTTGCCAAGCACCTCTTCCAGTAGCACGTCTTCAGATAGCTCAGAGTCCTGCAGCGAAGCTGCTTGATCAAAAAGGAAGCACAGCCTCCGCTCTGGAGTCAAGCAGATCATTATATAAATTTTCCTGCAAGCGATACCACCAAGTTTGCCAGATATCATTTTTGTGCAAACGTGTGGTACGCGATTTGACCGTCCCAAATTTGTGGAAGTCTTTTCTGTGAACCTACGTAGGGTTTTTCGAGATTGCTCACATACATATATATATATATATGTGTGTATATAATATTTCATATATATATATTTTATTTAATAAATAACAATAATGATAGTAATAATAAAAATAATAACAATAACAATAATAATGATAATTCAGTATATCCCATTCTATTCCCATCATAGCACCATGTTTGCGTCTTGAATACCCATTGTTTGTGTCTGTTTTCAAGTGGCCTTCCGAGTTCCCAACTCCGATGTTTTCTGCGTCAGGCGAACCTTGAACCAAGACATCCCCATTGACTTGGACATGGAATAACCCGCAGCCCCGCAGCCCCGCAGCCCCGCAGCGCGCGGAGCGATTGGATGTGGATGTGCTGCGGAGCTGCACCGTAGCTTTTTTAGGAGCGAGATCTCACAGATGGTCAACTAGATGGTGGGTAGAGCAATGTTCCATGGATGTGGTGATGAAGATCCATTTGGCAACTTTCCTGGGTTCTGGATAATCTTAACCCAGTTTTCTAAACTTCCAGTTTACCAGATTTTTTCAGGGGGGTACCAAGTCTAGTAATTTAGCATATTTAGCGCTATTCTTGGAGGAACGCCATCCAACAAACAGAGTCAGAATTGGGGATGGAAACTCTTGCGTCGCAAAGTTTGGAATGGTCCGAGAAGCAGCCCATTTGTGGGAAAAAAAGGCTCCTGGGGATGGGGTTTTAAATGTATTTTACATTCGTAACAAGCCTAAGTTGTCTGAAGCTTCTTGTTTCCTTTCAAGGATATTGGGTCACCATTTTGTGGGGAAGCGTGCTGGGAATCTGATTTCTCCATTTCAAGCATGAAGGTTGAATCCAAAAACTGGAGTTGAACCAAAAATGCTGGAGAAAATCTGTACATGTCGTGTTTCATCGCTTGATAAACAAAAATGTAATGTCATGATTGACCAAGGCTTACAGCTATAGTAATACTTGGTCAGGTTTGGGATAAAATATAAACAACGCTTCGGAAAATCAAACATTGCAGTAAAAGGTCCCATATAGAAATGAAGTTTTTATAATTTATAGTTGGGAACAAAAAATCTAGAAGTGGAGATTCATAGCTGTGGAGATCCGCAATGGAAGTGTAGTGAAATCATCTATAAGTGGAGGTTTTAATGGGGATATCTTCTATACATGGTCGGTTTTCCAGCCAACCAGATTTGGAAGTTTCCATAAATGTTTGTACCCTGAAATGGATGGTCTATAATGGGACATCCTATTAAAACGGATGATTTAGGGGTACCCCTATTTGAGGAAACCTCCATTTGATGACACCGGAGGATATCGGTATCTGACTTACGCTGCGACCTCGCAACGACCCTAGAAATGACGAATGGAAGGAGAATTATCCCGATGCAAAGCTCTAAAAGATTCGGGCTAGTGAATTATTAGAAGCTGTCCGCTGATCACTAGTTGTTTTACGTAACCAAGAATTGATTAATAGATACCAGTAGTACTGCACAAGGCGATGGCAGAAGTTTCAAAGATAGGGCACTATAGGAGAGATGAGTTGTTGCGATGCATGGATGGCAGAGCGAATCCACTGATGCACTGAAAGGTGGTTGGAGTTGTGTTTTTTGGAGCGGTTACAATGGTTGCAGTGGTCACCTGGTCGGTCACCTCACCCACAGCTGCTGGATGTACTGTGGTGTAGTGCAGCTGTAGTTGTAGTTGTAGTGTAGTGGAGATGTAGCTGTGGTGTGGTGTAATTAGTGTAGCGTAGTTGCAGTTGCATTTGTGGTGGTGTAATGAGTGTAGTGTATTGTAATGTAGGGTAGTGTAGTGTAGTCGTAGTTGTAGCTGTAGTTGTAGTTAGTGCAGTGTAGTGTAGTGTAGTGTAGCGTACTTGAGTGTAGTGTAATGATGTGAAGTGGGGTGTAGTGTAGTGTAATTAGTGTAGTGTAGTGTAATTAGTGTAGTGTAGTGTAATGTAGTAAAATGTAGTGTAGTTGCAGTTGTAGTTTAAGTTAGTGTAGTGTAGCGTAGTGTAGTGTAGTGTAGTGTAATACAATTAGTGTAGCGTAGTGTGATGTAATGTAGTTGCAGTTGTATGTGTAGTTGTAGTTGTAGCTGTAGTGTAGCGTAGTGGAGTGGAATGTTGCATAGTTTAGTGGTGGTTGTATTTGAAGCTGCTACAAAACCTTCACGTTTTGCTCACTTTTGACTTTGACAATGTACAGAATCCCTGTCGCCTGCCGCGCGAAACGACATCTGAACGTAAAACACAGTGAATCGCGACTTTTCTACCTTTTCCCGCACCTGCATTTTCTTTCTTCTGACTCTTTCTCTTCTCTGATCTTCTCTCTTCTTCTCGTCTCTTCTCTGACTCTTCCCACCTCTGCTTTTCCATTTGTCCATATTGTCGGAAGTTTGGCTTCTAAACTTCCTTCGTTTAATAGTCAGAATTCCAATAGCAAGTGTAATATACTACCCATATGCCCCGTGCATGGAATATTTACCAACATTTGCCTTAAATGTAGGTAAAGATACCATACATGGAGCATATGGGCTATTATTGGACTAATTATTCGAATTTATTGAAGCTCCAGGATCTGGATCCCATTGCGGCATACGTAACGATGAAGTAGTTCGGCCGAGCATACAGCAGTTGGGTTGCCTCAACACCAATGATTGTGATTTTATTCTATTCTAACTCAAATTTGGGTTTGGTAGAATCCACATTTAAATTAGATAAGACATTGTTGGTGCTCTGGTGACGCCAATTCTAGACATCTGCCAGAAACCATATATCCTTGTCGTTAGAAACCAACGTGACCTATCGGTTCGGGGCCCCACGTTGTAGGCATGTTTTAACATTGTATTCCCATTATAATGCCATTACATTTTTTTGCCAGTTTAATCCCATTAAGATCCCAGTACATCGTGACCAGTTGCTTCAAATATTCCAGGTGTGACCAGTTCAAATAAGTGTTCTATTCAGTCAACTCATCTGGTCAATATGATCAATGGTTCCGTTATATTCCATTCTGACCTATTGGTTCAGCTCACCTGGTGACACATCCAGCGCGGATTCGGTGGCGGTTCGGTCAAAGACCTGCTGCTGCAAAAAAATCGAACGAAAGGGGGCCAGGACAAGGATCAGAAACGATGGCCCCGAAATTTTGGGAAATATCATGGTTGAATGATGTTAAATGGGATACAGTAAATCATGGGATGTTTAGTGGAATAGAATGGAAAAGAAGGGGAGAGAGAGAGAGAGAGATATATATATATATATGTATGTATTATAGTAGAAGTACTGGGATATAATGATACTACCAACAAAAATGGTGATCTTTACTCACCACTCATTTTTTTTGATAGTGGGAGATGCATATAATCAACATTATGAATTCTCCAAACAGTAGCTAAGTTAATTGATACCTTTGGGTAATCAAACATGGCAGTGGGAAATCTCTGAGAATAGAGGTATCGATGGAACATATTCTGCAATGTCTATTGCCATGTTTGAATACCGGCGGTGATTTGGAATTACTATTTACCGTGAAAAAATGACAACAAACAGACCTGGGAGGCTCCACATTGCATAATTCTTAATTTAACGAGCGAAATAATGATCAACCATGAGATGGGGATCGGGGATGGGTGATAACCGATGATCTTCTCATGTGGATGGGGGAATGAACATGATGCATCTAGCAGCTATTTTGATGTTGACCAGGCTACAACTTAGCCTATACCCAAATTTTCTGGGGGAATGTTTTCTGTGGGGGTGGAGTCAACATGGTGTGGTCATGGAGGTATGGTAAAAAGGTTTTATCCCACCGTCAAAATGAATATATTTACCAATGGGGTTGCGCATCTTATACGGGGAACCATATATGACGTTGTATGTATGTGATTGCATGTGATATCAGATTTGATACCCCAAAAAAATGTCCCAAAATGAAACTTGGCAAATGCACTAGATCTCTTTGAGTTTATGGTCTACTCATTAGAAACAAGTGGTTGGAGCTCTCCTAGTTTTTTTTGGGGGACCACGTGGCTGGGTAAGGTTTGCTTCTGGGCCTTCTATTTCGGTGTTTTGGGGGGAATGCTGAAAATAGTTGAAAATACATAGCAGGAGGATGCCAGAGGGATAAGAACTGCTGACATGGTTTCTGCATTTTTCTAGCCTGGTGTATGGTATACCCTTCAGTAATCCGATGCTGGATGGGAAATCCCCGAAGTAAAATGGGGGTTCCTCCGGGGCAGAGTATCTGGATATGTTCCATGTTGGAGTACCCATCCCTGTCATCGGCAGAGATCTTTGCCGTATTGATCTTTTCCCGGCTCAAGAACCGAACCGACTTCCGTGAGAGAAGTTTTCGTGAGCTCTTCGCGAGCAAAATTCTCCAAAGGTTTGTGCATGGACCGTGGGGACCAGTTTGACCGCTGGTGTTCACCGTTGTTTCACAGTTGATGAACTTATAGTACTCTTGGGACCCAATGCTTGGTAACAAGTAACACAGCATGTTTGAGTGGTTACTATTTCACAAAAGTTATGTAGTTATTTCATGATGGAAAGATCCAATTTCATTCCCTTGATTTACGAATCACCTCCACAGCGTATCACAACGGTCACAGCCCGTCATGGCTACCATGGCGCGCTATATCACCCTGGCGCTGTGCCTGGTGGCTGCAGCCGAGCGAATCGCAGATGGCGATGTGCAGGCAGGGTCTAGACTTTACGGAGATCTAACATGACTTTACCAACAAAAATCCTGAGAAAGGATGGAAGTTAAGATGATTTAGCTGAACACCCATTTCATCAAGTCTGACGTATGAAAAGGATTCCATTTATTTCCAAGCTTTTCTTTCTAGAGATATCAACTACGGTATATATTAATGGCTTTTCTGAAACAAAGACAACCTGCGATGCTCTTATGTCTCGCACAGCACAACCAGCCAAGCGATAGCCCGAAGAAAACAACGCATCTCATTGGACTGGCTGATGGAACATTTGTGGTTTTGTGACTTTTGAATACTTAGCTTAATCAAAACCACGTACCTTCGTTTGATCAGCATTTGATTGGAAGATATTAGTGGTTGTCTGATGTTTTCTGGACATTTTGCCTCCAACTCATCCCTCCAGTACTGTGGGACTGTTGGGTGTGGCCTGTACATAGCAGGGACTTGAGGCAAGCTGCGCAGTCGACTTCTCAAGGTTTAATGTTTCGATCAATGGGGATCACCAAAACTATGGATATTGAATGATTTTGATATGTCTAATGTGGATGATGACTGGGGGTACCCCCATGGCTTAGGAAACCTTCATACAGAGGCAAAATGGCCGCCATGGAGATGTTGAGGAAAGAACAGCTGGGGGGTTCCTAAAATGGGGCTACCCCGAAATCATTTGCAATCAGCATAAAAACCAACAGTTTGGAAGACTAACGCGTT